TTAAAAATGTACAAACTCTATGTTTTATAAGTATTTCGGTGCATGTTTCAATAAATTGCTGCATCTATTTTCCATTTTCCTAGCAAAGTATAAAGAAGTAAGGGGTGGATCAAGATTGTTGCACAGTACTGTAACCTGTTCAGTCATTTTTTTAGTTGAAATTTGTGAGGAACCTCATGCGTAGTAAGTCTGAATGAATGCTGTCATATTCAGTTAGATATGAACAAGATTATAATTGCACGTATGTCTTCTTCATCTTCACAAAAGACAGTTTGCACGCCTGCAGCAGTCGAAGGTGCGCATAGATCGCGTGAAAATATCTGCCTCACTTACACTCATAATATTTCTCTTCCAGTGTGAAACCCTAAAGCACTGCTTTCAGAGATGAGGAGAGAAAGTGAAACAGGTCATGTGAACCAGACTCACTGACAATAGGAGCTGACTTAAGTTTATTGCTTCCAGCTGTTTTTGGAAGTCTTTCATCTAAATGTTCTTCTGTGAGCATAGAGTGTTGCATGCATTTACGCACAGGGCACAACACTGGTGATTTCATTAATTACATCTACATATACCATCATTTTAGCATCATGGATGGATTAGTCTTGATTAATTCATAATCTCATATACTTGAGCTCAAATAACAAAGTCTTACTTACATGTGAGCCACAGACACAACAGTGCTGAGCTTGGACTCTGTAATCACGCAGGTTTTGGTCAGCAGAGACTTCAGGAATATCTCCAAGGCCCGAGCTTATTGATGCAGTATGGGATTTCACAGCTCTACAACACTTGCAGCATGTATTTACATACTTGCTTTGACATAATACAGTTACCATTTAACACTGGCTAACATCAAATATCCACACCATCACAGCAAAAAACAGTTCCTATCACCTGGAGGGATGTATCTTAGTACAATAAACTGAACAATTTATTGTTGAGCCATTGTGTGTATTCGCTTTAATCAGCCTAAATTAATGTTTAATTCAGTCTACCCAATATCCAATACCTAAAACAACAAGATTCATTAGGACAGTTTATTTATTTTGCTAAGCGTTTGGCACTTGAACGCAACTGACTTTAACTCCCAGCAAGTGCCTCAGGAGAAGCTGGAAGAAGATGCTGCTTCGGCAAAGCGCTGAGCTTTGACTCATAAAGGATACATATGATTACAGGAACTGCCATCGCCATCCGGCCCACCTCAGCGTCCTTCTGCATGATTTTTTTGATGCGCCTCTGGCAACAATATCAAAGAGTTTACAGCTGTTCAAGCAAATGGAAGTTACGGTGCATTGAGGAGCACTGAGTAAACTGCATGTAACTGATGAAATAACTGTTAATAGCAGCTGAAGGTGTTTTTTAATGGTTCATATGTGAAAAACAATGTGTGACATGTATGTGCCAACTATTTATACTACAAAATAGGCCTACATACATTTCATTAAAAAGGAAAACAAGTTTCCCAACCACAACATAAAAAATGGAAGAAACAGAAAGCACAAAGTCCTGCAAACTCGTATTCATTGAAAAAACATCGAAACACCTTCTATAATGGTACCGTTTTTTGTTGTTGTTTTTTAACGAGTAAATAATTTATATTTAACATATATCCTAGTTTGCTAGGCTAGCTCGCTAATAAACATGATTTCCAGCAGTCTTTGAATGCAACAGTTGTCACACGACTACAGTTACCCGTTAGCTCGTTTAGCAGCTTTAATTTTCCACACTATTCCACATTTACTCACAGGAGGGAAGCGTACGTCATATCTTCTCTTCTGTCCGGGCATTTTCGTCGCTTTAATCCGCGCCGCTCGAACACAGTTTTCATATTTTTACCGCAAATCGCTGCTTCGTCCATATGTTTACCTTCAGCAGGAAGAACCCCGCAAAAAATGCCCCAGAAAAGAAAAAA